ATTTCCTGATTATAATATAAATTTTCCAATTTTCTACGTTCTTTTTTTCTCTCACCTCCTTCTTTCCTTATTTCCCTCTCTCATTCTTCCGGCATTTCTCTATTTTTTTTTTTTTGTTTGTTTTTTGCAATTTTCAACTAAAATCCATTGAAATTTTATCATTTTTTCGAAAAATTTGACCCTTCTTTTTACCATCTTTCTTTATATTTTTTCTTCATTTCATCCAAATGTTGAGTTCATAAATTGCTAAAATCACTTTTTTCTAATACAATAATTAATAAATTAATTTCTATGAAGTATTTTCTTATAATTATCAATTATTGAAGTCGTATTTTGTTAATTTACCATTTAAAATTGTGTAACTCAAAAATTCCTCAACTTTTCATTCTAATATTACTTCTTTTCATTCTAGGCATGCATTAATTTGGTGACAATATTTGAAACCTTTTAATTATTTAGAAAAGTAAATTTCTTCTTTTAAGAAGTTTCAGTTGCATTTTTTAATCATTTTTCTATTTCAAAAAAAATACGAAGTTTATAAGATTTGAAACAATTTAGCATAAATTAAATTTCATAACGGAAAATGCAAAATAAATTAATGAAATTTGATGTGATGCAGAGATAACATTTAGGAAATGTTAATATAAATTTAGCTTATTTATTAAATGTCATATTAAATTAAACCAAGCTTTCTTCAATGATAATTAACTTAAAAGTTTTCCTTTCAAATTCAATCTCCAAAAAAAATTCCTTATGTAAGCAAATTTTTGGTCGTTTTTTTGCAATATTTAAGTTAACATTGTTTCAAATTTCAAATTTTCCACAAATTAGCTACCAATAAAATATGCTCAAAATATTTAAATGTTCATCAAAATTATTATTACTACTTTTTTCTTTTAAACGGAAAAGAAAAGATGCAATTGTGTTTGAAATTTGTTCTAAAAAAATTTCTGATCAATTTCGATCCAATTTTATAGTTTTTCAGTGATTTCACCGATCGGATGATAGGCTGCATGAGGGATTAATATCATGTTGGAATCAGGAAATGTATTTGAAAGTATAGTATTTATTGCTTAAATTACTTAAACAATAATGGATGCATTAATATTAAATGCTGGACATTCGCAACTGGAAGAACAGCTAAAAATCGCAGCAGCTTGCGGTGTCGCGGAACGACAACATGGATCCAAATCTGATGATATTACCGCGGTGATAGCAACAGAAGATAACGATGA